AGTGTGTATTGTAATGCAAAATGTTATAGAGGTTCATAATATTTAGTGTCGATGGACAAAGTTTTATACTTGTATGGAGTGTTCTGGTACTTTTGGAAATTTAGAAATTTAGACTCCAATTAGAGTGTAAAAATGGAGCTGGATAATCTTAGCAAAGTAAGGGTTTACTATGCTTACAAAACTGCAAGTTTTCCATAGACTTCAACAGAATAAATAGTATTTAGTAAGCATAGTAAGCATTGACACTGGTACAATATGAACCATACAGAAAACAAAGCATCTGTATGTAATGATACTTCCGGCTGCTATTTTATCCTCATAACTGTCTTTGATATATGCTCTTTGCCCTTCTTAAAGGAGCTCTACAGTCACCAGAACAACTACAGCTTAATGTCGTTATTCTGGAGTTTACACCCTGTCCATGCAGGTTTATTAATATAAACAGTGCACATTTAGAGACCACTTCTATCGTATTTGTTAAGATCATCAAGTTTGATGTTTTCACCTGAGGGGGCTGATTGGAGGCGGTGCAAGCCGCAAGTAAACCCGCCCCAAAAAGGCGAGTAAAATTACTTTTTACCTTGCTGACAGGGGGGTCGGCCACCTAAATGGCGCCAGTTGAACTATAGTGTCTGGAATACAAGCTTGCAGTCCTGACACTATAGTGTTCCTTTGACTTCTTCCTGAGACACACTGTACAGATTTACAGCGCTTCTGTATGCAACATGAAGAGGAATCTGATTCATCTGAGAAATCAATTTCTCATCCAGGTGATAACCATAACAGGAAGGTAGCACATTTATTTATCTGTATTTTGCATTATAATTACATTTCAAACAGCAAGATCCGCAAGCATATTAAACAATGTATCTTGTCCAATTCCGGAAGAACTCCAAAAGTACAGATGGATGCAATGCATTTTAGAAAAGCAAAATGCTTCACTCAGTAGAAAACTGCAATAAAATAAATCAGGCTGGGAAATATTTGCATAGAAATTTGTATGACGCATCTTGGCTTCATAGAGTTCACAAGTTGTTGATAAAATACACTTAAATCAGTCCGTTCACAGTGCAGTATAATCTATACTTTTTTTTTTTTTTGAGTCTTTTGTGAGCAGTGAATCCAAGAAGTAACCAGAAATATTTTAAACTCAAAACTATTGCTGCAGACTAAAAATAGCATCAGCTGCTCCTATACACGAGGGGTTAAATAAAAATGCCCTGTAGCACTGTATCTGCTATGTTTAATTCATGCTGCCAGTGACCCAAGGCAGCTAAATCTGATCTATAATTGCGAATAAATGCCATTAGATGCTGTAAGAACTATAAAATAGAGGCCTTGCTTTTAGCTACATTTAGAATATTTTTCACTGGTATGATATAGTTTTACTAAATGCAACTGATTATATTATTTGTGTAGTATATTAATCATATTTTAAAAAGGAGAGTGCAAATTAACTGATGCAGGTATCATAGATGCCTAGGTGCTTGGTGAAATAAAATTGTCCTAAGGTTTTTATATATTTCCAGTGAAATAATTGAATTTGTATAATAAGAAAACGTGAACTGTTAAAATAGAAAATTGACATGAAACGTCCTAATTTAAAGGTAACTCAAATTTAAATAGTTTTTAAAAAATGTGTGTATATATATATATATATATAGCAAAAATCCACAACTGCTTGGCACTCTCCTTACTAAAAGATGAATGAAAAACCAGCAAAATTGCCTAGGTGCAACCCGCGTTATAAATATACGTATGCAGACAGGGGTGCACTCACAGGTCTTAAACAAGAACGACAATCAAATTATTAGGGTGAAAAAATCTTCATTATATCCGTGAACAAATCGACGTTTCGACCCCTAAGGGTCTTTCTCAAGATCACGGCTCACACAAAATAGTGACAATATATACATGTATTAATTAATCAAATAACTTACCAAACATGTGAGGAGAATGATTGTGGACCCATTAACCCGCGAAACCGGAAACCCGGAAGTGCTGTACGCCGCGCTGACGTCATCACGTGGTGACGTATCGCGGAAGAGAAACATGGTTACTAGGCCCTGACGACGCCGTGCCAAAAGTGAAAAAAAGTGAAAAGACAGCATCCCGAGAATGGGATTTTTACAAGAATGGACACATAAGTGTCTAGATGGAGGAAGCCAGACTATGCATCTAATTTGGAAGAAGAAAATCAGCATATACATATAATTAACATATACATATAATTAGAAAAATAGAGATCCAGCGATCAACTGTATTAATAATATAATGAAATAATAAAAAAATAAAAAATAAATAAAAAAAATAAAAAATAAAAAATAAATAAAAATAAAATGAACATAAAGTAGGAATCGAGCATAAAATAAAAATAAAAATATAAATGAAAATAAAATGTATAAACAACCCATGTATTTAGTAATATAGTAATGTATATAAGTATGTATATAGATAACACCCAGACAAGCCCTCCATACAGGTGAAGAATGTGTATAGGTGAGGTGAACACCAGTGAACACGTATGTGAGATAGGATGGAAGGTAGTGGTAACTACATATCAAACCTATGAACCATATAAATAGTAAATATAATAAACCCCACATACAAAACATATGTATATGCAACGTCTACTACAACTGCAAATAATTACATCTAATACAGCATGCATATATAATTGTATCTTGTGTAGTATGCATATAAATGTGGTATTATCCTTATACGTATCTATCATATACCCAATCTTAATAATAAATATCCTAATTATTAGCATACCACAAAGAAACAGCAGAAGATCTATATTAGAAGAGCTAGATTGAAAAAGCCATATTTTACAAGCTAGAATAAGGCCAAAGGTGTATCCTTATAAAAAAACAGAATATACTATATTCTCATTTAATCCCTCATTTTATCCAATTTATAGATCCAAACTGCTTCCCGCTGTAATAAAGCTTTAGATCTGTCACCTCCACAGGGAAGAGGGGGGACATGATCAATCGCTATAAATCTTAATGTAGGCAAATGGTGTTGTGCTGCCAAAAAATGTTTGGCAACAGGTTTTTCTGTTTTATTGTCTCGAAATGCAGTCATGATTCCTGAGCGATGACCACGTATACGATCCCGTAATGTCAAGTCCGTCTTGCCTATATAGGAAAGGCCACATGGGCAGGTAATCATGTAGATAACATGATCAGTGGTACACGTTATATAATGGGATATGGGTATACGTTTGCCACTATGAGGGTGGCTGAATGTTGTACCACTGATCATGTGGCCACATGTTACACAGCCTGAACATTTATAACATCCTTTCTTTTTAACAACAGGAGATTTTTTTATAGCATTGAACAGGGTCACTTTTCACCAATAAGTCACAGAGATTTTTATTCCTTTTATAGCTGATAATCGTTTTTTGTTGAAATATGTAAGGGAGATTCACATCAGCTTGAAGGATGTCCCAATGTTTTTTTATGGAATCTCTAATTTTCAATGTACCCGTATGAAAGGTTATAGAAAAATATTATTATGGGGTTGTGGCGTGGTCCTAGCTGTTGTACTGTTGCTCTCATCCTTAAATGTTTAATCGCTTGATTCTTGGCTTTGTCCAATATCCGAGGGTGGTAGCCACGTGCAAGAAAACGTTCATACATCTCTTGGAGTTGTGTATCCCTGGAAGATATTTCACTATTATATCATCACCTGTGGTAATTCCAAAAATCAGACTATGGAGCCAAAGGTACAAAAAAACAATGGAAGGCAGACAGGAGGATCATGATAGTAGTTCCATATAAAAAAAACCATATTTTTATATAGGAAATTAAAATCCGGTAACATGAAGTATTCCTTATTAAAAGTGCATCCGCTTAGGTTTACCTTGCTACTACTTCTTTGTCACAAATTTAATTTTCTATTTATAATTCTTAATCATAATGTATACAATTTTTTTTACATTCTCTCCCTTTTCTTACCTTCCCTTTATCTAGCTTAATAATTGTGTACTAAACTCCTTTACTTCATAGTGTTCCTACATACTATTCCTTTCTGTATTTGTGCATAGTTTTGTATTGCTTTTAGAGCTAAGCTCTTTTATTTTCTCTTTATTCATATATTTTTCTCTTCCATTTTCTTTTTTCCTTGCACCTTCAACTTCCTCTAATGTTTCATATGTATCTTTATGTATGCCGTGCTCACAAAAACCCAATAAACAATTTCCGATAACCTTCAACTACATATTATATATATATAAACTTTTACTAACCCATCCTTTCCTTCCCCCTATTCCCTCTTTGCTTCTTCCTGTACCAGATAGAAAAAAATGTTTTTTAAAGTTTTTCTCTTTTCTTTTTTCTCCTATCCTTCTTCTTTATCTCTATATCTTCCTCCTCTTTCTTCTTCTGCCCCTCCTTTATCTTCATCATTTTCTTTTTGGTTTATATATATAAAGTTATATTCCATATCTCTTAATGACCATTCACATTTCATTCCTTTCATTTCCATCTCTTGATTAATGGCCATCGGCTTCAGGGTTCAGATGTCTTTCTTGTAGCCAATCTTTCAGCGTTTCTGGGGCGTCAATTGCATATGTTCTTGAATCTTTATAGATCCATAGCCTTGCAGTAAAATCCCCATCTATACTGAATGTTGTTGGCTCTTAGTATTTCTGTGTAATTTGCATAGGATCTTCTTTTAGCTCTTGTGTATATCGATAGATCTAAGTAAACTATAATTTTTTTCATAAGGAGCATGAATTTTTCCTTCTCTTATTGAATTTGTTATGGCTAATTTGATTCAGAAGGACGAGCAGCAAATCAAGACGTCTCTGGGGATGTTTGCATACAGATGTTTAGGTTTGGGTATCCTATGTAATCGTTCTATTAGAGGACCATATATCTAGTTTTTAACATTCAAGCTAGCGAAAATATTGTTTAAAAATTCTTCTAATTTTCCCAAGGTGTTTCTTCTGGTATGTTCCTTCCTTTTAGAGTATTATGACATCATCTTTATTCTAAATCTGCATGTTTCTGTTCCATTTGTACAATCTTGGTTTTTAGTATATTAATATCATTTTGCATCTGTGTTGAACCAAGTTCCATTTTTTTCATTTTTTCAGAATTTTCATTCACTTTTCCATTGATGTTATTTAGATCATTTTTAAACTCTTCTGTGAAGCGTTGAATTTCATTTTTGATCTTTATAAATTGTGTTTCTAGAGCGCTGTTAAGTAGATCTACCGTCACCTGTTGGAGTTCAGTTGCTACAGCAGCCTTTTCTGCTCTCTCTTGATCCACACTCTTAGATGTTTCATCTAGAAGGTTATTTTGTTCCCCTATTTTCGTGGATTGGGGTGAAAAAATGGATAAGCGTTTCTCTAGTGGCTCATTTTTATTCTCAGATTTATTTTTGGTATTTTTAGTTTCTTGAGTTTTTCTGGCCACCATGTTGTAACGTTAATTGGAAAGAAGAAGAAACCCAAAGAGAAAAAAACAAAGAAAAAAGAAAAAACAAAACATGTACAATTTGTATTTATGTTTCTATGTTATCTCCAGCCAGTTTTCCAAGTTTAATGGCTTTAGAACTCTATGCATACTGAATAAATCTTTAGTCTTTCTTCTTTTCTCTCCTAATAGTAATCCCCTACTGGCGGACAAACCATAAATTCAGGCATAAGAATTTAAACGAGGCATCCAGTGTAATCAACAAAAAATGCAGAAAAATATTCAGGCAATTTATACATAAGGTTTGCTTTAATTGCCGTCCTTCGTTCCCTTCTATTTCAACTATATTTCTTTACTTGTATATAAATTTCAGAAACCACGTGATATTAATAATTGTCTATGCACATTCATAGCTTTAAAAGAAATGGGGAGACCCCCTTTTCAGGGCTAAATCAATAAGCTGTAAATACTATAAGAGCTAGAGGTTCTTTCAATCTCTCTGCTTCTGTCTCTTTACATAAAAAGTTATACATTTATGTTGCAGAAGACACGGTGCAAAAATAAATAAAAAGCAATAGGGATTTGACAGCAGGATTCTGCTTATTTACTTATTTGCTTATTATTCTCATTAGGGAGCTTGGAGCCCACTCACGTGTCCTTGGAGTGATGCAATAAGGTAGAAGGACCCCCTTCTCGAGTTCAATTCTAATTGCCGGACAGTTTTCCTTTCTTCCCTTCACCGGGTTCAACATCCTCTACTATCTTTTGATTTTATGCCAATGAAAGCAGTGGATAACACGCAGACCACCTCTGTATCCTGTTGGCGTCTGCTGACACATGTTGCTCCGATTGAGGCTGGTCTGCCGTCTCACACACTTTACCGCAAGTGTTTCACGGTCTCCTCTCAGGGTTTCCTCACTGCATTATTGTGCTGCTCCAGTCAGATATACTTTTCCAGTAATTTGTTGCACAAGTAAACCGCATATTGCTCTGCCCGGGTCCTTTCAGCCTAATACCCAAAAGATTATCGCTCCTCCTATAGCAGTCTTTTTAGAAGCTGGGGCGTTCTCCCTCCATCGGTCTTTTCCCTGGCGCCTAAATCCGCTAGCGTAGCGTGAAATTAATTTCAGAAATATAAACGTAGACGTTAAGTACAAAAATATGTATATATATTTAAATTCTACATGCATATATATGTCATATTTTTACATAACTAAGTAATTTTATTGATTACAATTTGAGGGATCTGCCTGATAACCCAGGCCGAAAGTCCAGAGAATTTAATTTGCTAGCACTATATTTAACCCTGTAACTTTCCAAGGCACCCTAAAACCTCTACATGGTGGGCACTGTTTTACTCGGGAGACTTTGCTGAACACAAATATTGGTGTTTTAAAACAGTAAAACATATCAAAGTGATGATATTGTCAGTGAAAGTGAACTTTTTTGCATTTTTCACACACAAACAGCACTTTTACTGATGATATAATTGTTGTGATATGTTTTATTGTTTTGAAACACTAATATTTGTGTTCAGCGAAGTCTACCAAGTGTAACAGTACCCCCCATGTACAGATTTTCGAAACACTGCCCAAAGTTAGCATCATTTTTTGCATTTTTCACACAAACAAATAAATGCTAACTTTGGCCAGTGTTTGTGATTAAGTGGCTACTACAAAAAGACTGGACATACCCCATATTGAATACCCTGTGTTGTCTACTTTTGCAAATGGTATGCCATCATGGGGGTTATTCTCATTCCTGGGCTAAGATATAGTCTCAAAGGCAACATAACCAAGCTGGCAAATTTTAATGTGTATAAACTGAAAAATGAAACATGCTATAATTGACCCTGTAACTTTCCAAAACACAATAAAACCTGTTCTCACAGGTACTGTTGTACTCGTGAGACTTTGCTGAATACAAACCTGTGCATTTTATTGCAGTACAAGCTAACAGTATTATGACATTCACAGTTAAAATATATAAGCAAAAACCACATGGACAGACAAAATTAAACAATCACTATTAGCTAGATGCAAATCATATACAGGTGATACTCGAAAAATTAGAATATCGTGCAAAAGTTAATTTATTTCAGTAATGCAAAGTAAATAGGGAAACTATTATATGAGATAGACGCATTACATGCAAAGCAAGATAGTTCAAGCCGTGATATGTCATGAGTGCGATGATTATGGCTTACAGCTCATGAAAACCCCAAATCCACAATCTCAGTAAATTAGAATATTACATGCAATCAATAAAACAAGGAGTGTACATAGAACAATAACGGACCTCTGAAAAGAATAAACATGCATATGGACTCAGTACTTGGGCCCCTTTTGCAGCAATTACTGCTTCAATGCGGCGTGGCATGGAAGCTATCAGACTGTGGCACTGCTGAGGTGTTATGGAAGACCAGGATGCTTCAATAGTGGCCTTTAGCTCTTCTGCATTGTTCAGTCTCATGTCTCTCATCTTTCTCTTGGCAATGCCCCATAGATTCTCTATGGGGTTCAGGTCAGGCGAGTTTGCTGGCCAATCAAGCACAGTATTCCCACGGTCATTGAACCAGGCTTTGGTGCTTTTGGCAGTGTGGGCAGGTGCTGGAAAATGAAGTCACCATCCCCATAAAGCTCATCTACGGAAGGAAGCATGAAGTGCTCCAAAATCTCCTGGTAGATGGTTGTGTTGACCCTGGACTTAATGAAGCACAGTGGACCAACACCAGCAGATGACATGGATCCCCAAATCAACACAGACTGTGGAAACTTCACACTGGACTTCAAGCATATTGTAGTGTGTGCCTCTCCCTTCTTCCTCCAGACTCTGGGTCTTTGGTTTCCAAATGAGATGCAAAAGTTGCTCTCATCAGAAAAGAGGACTTTGGACCACTGAGCAACAGACCAGGTCTGTTTTTCTTTAGTCCAGGTAAGACGCTTCTGACATTGTTTGTTGCTCAGGAGCAGTTGACAAGAGGAATACGACATCTGAAGCCCATGTCCAGGATCCATCTTTGTGTGGAGGCTCTTGATGCACTGACTACAGCCTCAGTCCACTCCTTGTGAAAGTCCCCAACACTTTTGAATGGCCTTTTTCTGACATTCCTCTCCAGGCTGCGGTCATCCCTGCTGCTTGTGAACCTTTTTCTTCCACACTTTTCCCTTCCACATAACTTTCTATTAATGTGCTTTGATACAGCACTTTGGAAACATCCAACTTCCTTCGCAATTACCTTTTGAGGCTTTCCCTCCTTATGGAGGTTGTCAGTGATGGTTTTCTGCACAACTGTCAGGTCAGCAGTCTTCCCCATGATTGTAATTCCTACTGAACCAGACTGAGAGACCATTTAAAGGCTCAGAAACCCCCTGCAGGTGTTATGGCTTACTTAGCTGATTAGAGTGGGACACTGTGAGCCTAGAATATCGTACCTTTTCACAATATTCTAATTTACTGAGATTGTGGATTTGGGGTTTTCATTAACTGTAAGCCATAATCATTGCACTTATGACAAATCACAGCTTGAACTATCTTGCTTTGCATGTAATGCGTCTATCTCATATATTAGTTTCCCCTTTTACGTTGCATTACTGAAATAAATGAACTTTTGCACGATATTTTACTTTTTCGAGTATCACCTGTAAGCATTCCCTCAACTACTTAAACACAATAATTTCTATATCATACAGAATGCACACTTTAACACTCACTGATATTTATTATAAATCTTTAATAAGTATACAAAAAACAAAAAAATATTTTGTACAAAAAGGAACAGAGTAACAGCACAAGGCAAATAGCAACCAAAAATAATATATCCAAACCTTACAAGCCTTAAGGCAGAAACACAAGTCACCAACTACCACAACATTTCGGCACCTACTGGTTGCTTTTATCAAGGGTACCTATATCTATGTCCTCATGTGTCTGCTTATAAAGCCCCATACAGCTGATGGCCATCATTGCAACCAACCCCGGAAGTGACATCATCACCTCAGGTATTGGTATAATTCACTAAATACAGAACACTATACATAACATATATACATAATAAAGTAACAATACAATTTCATATACCTTGTAATACGCATGCATGTAAAATATATTACTTCGTCCGTAAGCATAATCCCCACGCATGCGCACTGTATGGTGTGTAGTCACACATCGTTATCTAAATCACTGGTATCCCACATATAATCCTGCAAATATTTTTTTGTTATTTGCATACTTATTAAAGATTTATACTCAGGGCCGTCTTTAATAGTGATTGGACCCTGGGCAAGCATTTGCTTTGGCCCCCTGGACCCTGCTGCCCTCCCACTCCCTAGCATGCAATCATGCCTTACACTCCAACCCAGTGGCGGAACTAATGCAGAGAAGCCCTGGTACAAGAAAGTTGTTTGGGCCTCCCCCTCTAGCACAAGAGTGGCGAAAAGATACATCCCCATCTGTCATACAACTCCCACAATGCTATGCCAGCTGGGGATCTATACTTTGCCCATCCTTGTAGGGTTGTATTTGTGTGCAGTGTTTGTGCAATTGAATGTAAGCCTGTTTTTGTATAGAGTATATGTGTTCATGTAGAGGTGTATTTGTATGTACTATTACAATTGGAATGCAAAGGTGTACTTGTGTGTAGTGTTTGCGTTTGAATGCAGTGGTGTGTGTTTGTATGTATGGTTGACTTTTAAATGCAGGTGTGCAACTGTGAGTTGGTGTATGCATATCATTTTGGCATTTTAATACTGGGTTTTGTTTGTATGTAATATTTGCCTTCAGGGTTGTTATAGAATGTAGTGTTGTCTTCTAAACATTTGTGTATAGTATTGGTGTTTGGGTAAAGGGTGTGTTTTATATATAATTTTGAGTTTGAAATCAGGGGTGTGTTTGTCTGTAATGTTTGTGTTATCAGGGATGTGTTTGCATGTTGTTTTTGATTGCTGGGATGTATACACAAACAAAGTTACATACACATCAACACACATATAAACATACTGACCCATGCACATACCTTGACACACAGATACACACACTGGCACATGCACACAAATTCTGATATGCACACTGGCACATAAACACTCAGATACACACCGACACAGTTACACACACATACACACAGATACACACACTCTGACATACATGTGATAATTTTTATGTTTGCAGCAGGGCAGGAGCAGAGAGTTGGAGGAGGCACAAAGCTTGTAAATGCTGATGCTGCTGTGGCAAGGCAAGCTGGTACTGTTATATGTAATGCACAACAACAAAAAAGAATTTAAATATAAAATACAAAAAAAAAATACACACCAATTATGTTTATCATCCTCTCATCACCTGTGCTTAAATGCAACTGCAGCAATAATTAAACTAATCTAAACAGAAAAAAAGCAGTGAGTGGGGGCACATAGTAGAAAGGCAGTGAGTGGGGGCACAGGGTAAAAAAAGCAGTGAGGGAGGAAGGCAGGAGCAGTGAGTGGGGGAAGGCAGGGCAGGGGCAGAGAGTGGGGGCACAGAGAAGAGAAGAAGTAAGTGGGGGAAGGCAGGGCAGGGGCAGAGAGTGGGGGCACAGAGAAGAGAAGAAGTAAGTGGGGGAAGGCAGGGCAGGGGCAGAGAGTGGGGGCATAGAGAAGAGAAGGAGTGAGTAGAGGAAGGCAGGGCAGGGGCAGAGAGTGGGGGCACAGAGAAGATAAGAAGTGGGGAAGGCAGGGCAGGGCCAGAGAGTGGGGGCACAGAGAAGAGAAGAAGTGAGTGGGGGAAGGCAGGGCAGGGCCAGAGATTGGGGGCACAGAGAAGAGAAGAAGTGAGTGGGGGAAGGCAGGGCAGGGGCAGAGAGTGGGGGCACAGAGAAGATAAGCAGTAAGTGGGGGCACAGAGAAGATAAGCAGTAAGTGGGGGAAAGCAGGGCAGGGGCATTGAGTGGGGTGGTTTTTCTAAAAACTATCCTAGCTGCAGCCATTCACGCAGAAGGAAAGGATCAGGGACTGGATACACTTACCTTCAACTCAGCTTAGAGCTGGCTGAGGCTGATGGGAGTGGGAATGAGCAGAAGCTCATTCTTGCCTCTCCCCACCCCCCCATGCTGCTACCTGCTGCTGCCTCCTTCCTCCCGCGGTGCTCTCTTCTGAAGCTGGAAGGAAGTGATCGGCTGTCACTTCCTCCCATCCAGCTAATACTACAGGGGCCCGGTCTGCTCTTAAAGGGCCATGGCACCCCACCGGGTGCCTGTTCAGAGACACCCATCGGGTGGCCCTAAATGCATGGGCCACCTGATAGGCCCCACCAAATTGTTGTGGGCCCACAGGGCAGCTGCTTTGGGCCCCCCAGGAGTAACTGGGCCCAGGGCAGCTGCCCCGTTTGCCCTGTGTTAAAGACGGCCCTGTTTATACTAAATATCAGTGAGTGTTATAGTGTGCATTCTGTATTATATAGAGATTTACAGTTAAAATGCCACGCAGAACTAAAAAATTATTTTAAAAAATATAAATTTTTCACGCTTTTTTAGATTTTATTCATAATGAATTTTGTTTCGTATATGAATAGTTCATGTGAACAAAATGATATATAATAAGTGTGGGTACACTTAATATAAAAAAGGTGAATTACGGTTGAACAGAGATATAGCGCAAATTCCAGTTTTTGTTATACAACGTGTATAACTGGCTCAGACCTTAAAGGGTTAAACTTAAAATTACTTTATTTACCTTTCACGGTGCAATATTTATTATGGGATCTGAAATACTAATAATCTAATTGCATGAAATTATTTTTTGCCATAGATGTGAAAGATTATTACAAATTGTCAAATTAATATTTATTACCAATCTCACTGTATGTGTGGGAATGTAGCTTCAAAACATGTCACCAGAATGCACAAATCTGTATCTGTACTATTTACAACTGTCAGATAATCCCTGTAATCTCCATAGAGTGTTGGCCTGGAAAAAATAATATATGAGGCCATCATGACAGGTGTTGTCATTACAACACACCTTGTCAATCATTTTCTGTACCCACTGAGGGCTGGCCAGTATCTCAATAAGGGACTGAGCTATATATTGTTATGCATAAAGCACACACTTCCTAATTGAAGATTTTTCATAAATTTCCTCTTTTTGTGTTTTCTGTCTTATGTGCAGGTGTCAGTAACTGTAAGAGCCATCTACACAGGATCCCCATGGTAAATTATCACGTGATCATGTTTACAGCTATTAATTACTGTAGGAGAATGTTTGGTTGTATAGGGAGAGGTATTAGCTGTAGAAAAAGGGAAGTGCTGATGCCATTGTACAGACCACTGGTGAGACCTCATCTGGAGTATTGTACACAGTACAGTACACAGCTACAGAATTTGGGGAGAGTTCAGAAAAGGGCTACAAAACAGGTTCATGGATTGCATGATAAAACTTACAAGGAAAGGTTAAAGGATCTTAACATGTATTGGAGGAAAGACGAGATAGGGGGGATATGATAGAAACATTTAAATACATAAAGGGAATAAACAAAGTAAAGGAGGAGACTATATTTAAAAGAAGAAAAAACACCACAACAGGAGGACATAGTCTTAAATTAGAGGGGCAAAGGTTTAAAAATAATATCAGGAAGTATTACTTTACTGAGAAGGTAGTGGATGCATGGAATAGCCTTCCAACTGAACTGGTAGAGATTAACACAGTGAGGGAGTTTAAGCACGCGTGGGATAGGCATAAGGCTATCCTATTTAGAAAATTGGTCAGACTAGATGTTTCTATTTTAAGATGTTAGTTATATGCTGCAGCATTTTTCTAATACATAAACACTGTGACCTTCTAACCACTCCTGTGTTTGTGTAAATTATTTGTGTGTTGGCTTGTATTATCTGTCATACCATTGTCGTGTGCTCTGTTGCCCTTACGCCCCATTTGTTTGTAGGAATGTGCCATTAAGTTAGAACCCTAAAACATTTGCAGCAGG